TCAAGTGGCCAGTGTAGACAGCTGGCAAGTTGTTCCGGAAAAGTGGCTGATTTTCCAGAAAAACTTGCCAGTCTAGACACAGCCCTTCAGTTTTATATTATCCTAAATAAATTGGCTCAGGGTGTCTGCATTCTCCTGCAGAGCATAAATTTACTGAACACTTTTCTCAGGTCTTATTTTACCTCCCAGTTTCTCAGGCTGTAGATGAGTGGATTGAGAAGGGGAATCAGGACCATGTAGAAGACCAAGAACACTTTGTTGAGGTTCCTCAGGTCATCATTTTTGGGTTAGACGTACACAATCGTCAGAGTCCCATAGAAAGCGGTCACCACCGTGAGATGAGAGGAGCAAGTGGAAAAGACCTTTTGTTTCCCCGTGGCGGACGAGATTCTCAGGACAGTGCCTATAATAGCAAGATACAATATAACCGTTAACAGAAATGGGGGGAGAGTGAAAATTGGGATGAATATGAATGTCGCGAGTTCCATGAGGTGAGTGTCAGTTGTGGAGAGTTTTAACACAGGGGTGAGATCACAGAAGAAATGGTCAATTTCATTGGGACCACAGGAAGTTAATTGTCACACCAACAGGACAATTATGCAGAAACGCACTTATCCAAGAGCTGTCTGCTAGCAGGAGATAGAACCAGCTATTCGTCAGGGTTGGGTAGTGCAGGGGTTTGCAGATTGCCAAATACCGATCATACAACATTGCTGTCAGGAGATAGCATTCTGCAGCTCCCAGAAAACCGAAGAAATACTTTGCACAATGCAGCCCCTAAAAGAAATAGTTCTGTCCCTAGTCAGGAAACTGGCCAACATCCTGGGCAGAATGGTGGAGTTGTAGCAGGTCTCCAAACAGGACAAGTTCCCAAGGAAGAAGTATATGGGGGTGTGTAGTTGTGGAACACCCACAATGAGAGCAAAGATAAGGATGTTCCCGGCTGTTGTCTCAAGGCAGCTAAATAAGAACAGCAGGAAGAGAAGGGTCTGCCATTCAGGGAGATTTCCGAATCCCAGGAGGATGAATTTGGTGATGGCGGTTTGATTGCCCATCCATTCTGGATGCTGCATCTGTTTGGGATTCTCAGCGAACCGGGGTTAGGTGGTTCCAATGTTCTTTGCGAGACGCCAGGGTGTGAACGTACACAGAAGAAAGAGAAGGAATTTGTACAAATTGACTCCTTTACCTCAACAGTCAGATTACTCATCTGGGAAGTAGGAGACATCTGATTCCAGTGTATGAGGGGAGAAAATATTTAAACATGGAGTGCCCTGCACACTCAGCAGTGAGATACCCAGATGTGGGTGTCTCAGCATCTTTCCCATTCAAGCCTAAGTCTGTCTTTGAATCCAGTCCGAGATGGAGTTACGCCCATTGGCGGCAATGGAGTCATGCCGATTTACACCTACTGAGGGTCTGACCCACTGAGTTCAATGAGATCACACTAATTTAGACCAGCTGAGGATTTCACTCCAAGTACCAGCCAGACACCTGATTTGAGAACGTCCTAAACACCAGACCTAAACCTGAGTTTCCCCAACATTCTCCATAGCGCTGTTTTCACCTCTTTGTTTTGCAGGCTGTAGATGATGGGGTTTAACATGGGGGTCAGGATACTGTACTGGATAGAGTTACGCACACCACAGTTACAAACTGACTGGTCAACCACACACTTCATTTGGACTCAGCAGTACACAATCAGGAGCAGCAGAGAGGAAAAAATGTGAATACAGCACAGTACTACCGGTAAGTTAGATGTAAACTACTATCTATAATAAAGGAAAAGTTAAAAAAAGTTTTAACAAAGTAAGGAAACTACTTTTGTATTTATTTGATGTAGATGAAGATGGTTAAAAGCCGCATTTTTCTTCTCCATAGAAAAGTTTTGAAGCTGCATTAAATTAACATTCAGATATGGGATACCCAGATGTGGGTGTCTCTGCATCTTTCCCATTCAAGCCCAAGTCTGTCTGTGAATCCAGTCCCAGATGGAGTCATGCCAGTTGGCGGCAATGGAGTCATGCCGATTTACACCTACTGGGGATCTGACCCACTGGGTTCAATGGAGTCACACCAATTAGAGCAGCTGAAGATTTAAATCCAAGTACCAGGCTGACACCTCGGGTCAGTCTAGACAACAGGGTCTTATTGACAAAAGTAGACTTTGGTCGACAAAACTATCCCTGTGTCTGCACTACCGCCGCATTCTGTCAACAGTAAGACAACAGAACGCGGCAGTTTTGTTGATGGCGGTAAATCTCGTTTTACGAGGAATAACGCCATTTTTTTACAGAGTTGTGTCAAACAAAGGCGCTATTCCATACAAACTGTGCTCTTTTGAAAGAGAACGTCCACACTCTCTTTCGAAAAAGTGGCTTGATTTTTCGGCAGAACTGGCTGTAGTCTAGATGCTCCTTTTCAACAGAGGCTTTGTCGACAGTGTCTGTCAACAAAGCTTCTGTTGAAAAAGGCATGCAATCTGGACGTAGCCCTGATTGGAGAACATCCTAAGCACCAGACCTAAACCTCAGTTTCCCCAACATTCTCCCAAGCGCTTTTTTCACCTCCTTGTTTTGCAGGCTGTAGATGATGGGGTTTAACATGGGGGTCAGGATGCTGTACTGGATAGAGACCAGTTCATCCAGAACCACAGAGGAGACGGAGCTGGGTTTGGTGTATTGGAAAAACGCTGTGAGATACAACAAGCCAACCACAGTCAGATGAGAACTGCAGGTGTTGAAGGCCTTCCGCCGGCCTTCTGCCGAGCGTATCCTCAGGACAGTGGAGATGATGAGAACGTAGGAGATGAGGGTGAAGAGGAAGGAGCTCAGTCCCAATACGACGGCAGATGCGAGCAGCACCAACTGCTCCTTGAGGGACTCAGTGCAGGACAGCTGTAGCAGAGGAGGGGGCTCGCAGCTGAAATGGTGGATTTGATTGGGCCCACAGAACTGCAACTGGAGGACAATGACCGTGCAAACTAGCCCATCTAAGAGGCCCGAAGTCCATGCACCAGCCTCCAGCAGTACACAGGTGCCTTTCTTCATGGTCGCCGCGTAACGCAACGGGTCACAGATGGCCACGTAACGGTCATAGGCCATGGCTGAGAGAGTGAACACTTCTGTACTGGCCGAGAAGACAATGAAGAACATCTGGGCAATGCAGCCATTGAAAGAAATAGTGTTTTGCTCAGACAGGAAGTCTGTCAGCATTTTAGGCACCGTGACTGAGGAATAACAGAGATCAACAAAGGAGAGATGGAAGAGAAAGAAATACATGGGATTGTGAAGGTGAGAATCGGCTCTTATCACCAACATGATCAGTGTGTTCCCAGTCAGGGTGACAAGGTAAATAAGTAAAAATACCAGGAAAAGATATTTCTGCATCTGTGGATCACTGGAAAGTCTCAGGAGAATAAATTCAGTCATGGTGGTTTGATTTTCCATTGACTCTCATTCAGGAAGTCTGTGATCTGGAAGGAGTGAAAAAACATATGAAATTAACAACTATCATAGCAGTCAACTGAGGATTTCACTTTCATGCACTAAATTTAGAGGAAGACACAGAGAAGTCGGTTTGACTTTGTGTCTTTCACATAGCCAAAATGGGCTACATTCCCAAAAGGTTTGGGAACAGTTTGGACACCTAAATTCCACTGTCAGCACCACAGATATCCGCAAAATCCCTTCTCAGCAGAGACTATGGACCAATCTGATGTGAGCCTCACTTGAAATTGCTCCACTGTGGTTCACACTCGGGCCGGAGGTCTGTATCCCACGTCTCCTACTAGGAATGCTCTACTCAGCAGGCTAGAAAGTCATTCATTTCTCTCTGTCTTTTACCCAGTATCTCTTTAATCTGTCCCACTAATGTCCCTAGCACTGCATCTGATTTTTATCAACTGAAGAGTTGGCTCCTTGGTTCCACTGGAATTTTGGTTGATTTATACAAGCTGGGAATTTCTCCAACTGCATAAAAAGTTATGCTTTGTCTACTACATTCTGTAGCTCTTTTTGGATTAGATTGGGGTGATCCCTAATAAATATCTAGGTTTTCAATATTATTGCTACTACTAATGATAAATCTACCACTAATAACAACACCCCAAAGCTAGGAATAGAGGTTTGGCACCCAGCACAGAATAGATAACTTGACCCAATATGCATGATATAGTCAAATTGATAATTAGTTTCCATTTCATTAAGAGGCTGTGAAAAGACAGAAGGCCTTAGCTGAAATTCACCCTCCTTCTCCAACAAATGGAGGTGGGTAACCCAACGTCAATATCATAGAGCACTAGAATGGGAAGGAACACCAAGAGGTCATCAAGTCCAGTCCCCTGCCCTCATGGCAGGACCAAGCAGCGTCTAGTCCATCCCTGATAGATGTCTGTCCAACCTGCTCTTAAATATCTCCAGAGAGATTTAAGACAGCACCCTTATCTGTCCAACCTGCTCTTAAATATCTCCAGAAAATTTTCTGTGAAAATTGCATAGCTTATTTCCAGGTCATTTTGAAATCGCTTATTTAAAAAATTTGAAAGGAAGAGCTATGCCGAAACTTCCCTTAACCCTTGTGCAATATGGTTTACAGGGACCTCAGAATAGCAAGCCCCTTATATTTCCATATAATGGGCTTGCTCTTAAGATGCAGAATAGCTATTTAGGAATACCAGCAGTATCCCGAAATAGCTGCATAGTGTACATGTAGGCTTAGACACTAACAGATTTCTTAGGGAATGAGCTTTTGTGGGTAAAACCCACATCATCAGATGAATTGGAGTGGAAGTAACTAAAGCAGAGGTATATATAAGGAAGAAGGTGCTTGTGTGAATGAAGCTGTGAATATCCAAAGCGGGGAAAATGCCTTTGTAATGCGTTAACCAGTTGAGATCCTTCTTCACTCCCAAATTCATAGGGTTGAATTCCAGTTCAGCCGTCTAGCTAAGAATTTCAAAAACCGGTTACAAAAGGAGACAGCTGAACTGGGATTGGTTTGCAAATTCAACAGGCAGCCCTTTCCCCCCAAACTGAAGCTGTGATGGGATGCAGGTTGGGGCACCTACTCTCCTCTAGGGTCTGGGGGAAGCAATCAACAAAATCTTTTATCTACAATGACTAGTCTGGTATCTCTAGACCCTCTTCTGATGGAGCGGAGATAACACGGCCTGTGGTGCACTAGTGTTTCACACTGAGCACTGCTTCCCCCCTGGCTGGCAGAATTTCAGTGCGAGCAAACATTGTTATAGTTACAGAGCGAGCATTTACACAATACTTCATAGCCGCGGTCACCAACCAGTGGATCGGGATCTACTGGTAGATCGTGGAGTCTCTGACAGGTGATCTTGACTAGTTTGGCCAAGAGACTATTATCAAGCGCAGCACCTCAGCTGCCCTTCTCCTCCCTGCTGTGCACGTCCTGCCCTTTGCTTTGAAGATCCCCCTGTCCTGAGCCTCCTGCTTGCGGTACAGAGCAGGGAAGGGAGAGGTCAGGGTGCCCCTGCTCCCATCCTGTATCCTATCTCCACAGAACAGAGGTAAGGAGCACAACAGAGCTTGGGATGGAGGGAGTTTGCTGGCTGCCTTTGGGAGCGATGCAAAGCCTGGGCAGAGGTGAACCTGACTTAGCCCCAGTGCACCACCACCCAGGAGCCACCCGAGGTCAGCAGTGTCCAGCTGGAGCCAGCTCTGAACCCCTGCCCTAGTCATGAATCCAATCTCCCTCCCAAAGACGACACCTGAACCCCCTCCTGCACCCAACTCCCTGCCCCTGGCTCAGCTCAGAGCCCTTCACACTCCTAAACCCTTAGCCCAAGACCAGATCTTGTGCCCCAACCCTCTGCCCCAGCCCGGTTAAAGGGAGGGAGGGAGGATGGAGTGAACAGGGACAGGGCCTCAGAGAAGGGACATGAAGGAGGTGGGATGAGGGTATTTGGGTTGAAGTAGATTTACATTGCATTTCAAATTCAAACAGTGATCTTGTGCTTAAAAAGGTTGGAGACCATGGCCTTATAACATGGGATACAGCTGTTATAAGTAGGATTAATACATGCTGCATCTTACAAGCATTCCATAAAGTCTAAAAACATACTTAGAACTCTATTACAGGTGGAACTTTTCTAGTCCCGTACTCTCTGATCCGGCAACATCCACGGTCCAGCATGATGTGAGTTAGCTGGATGTCCACTTAGCATGGGTGTAGCCAAGTTTCCCGCAGTTCCATAAAGTTTGGTTACCGCCCCCAGTCCTGGTGCTCACGGTTCCGTGCTGTTATTTAGCTCTAATTTACCTTAAATGTCTTCTAAGAGCCCAGGAAGCAGTGGAAGAGTTGGTAATGCTGCTAGACAACATTGACGTGCGGGTTTTGGCAAATTCTCTGGTCCAGCACCCGTCAAGTCCTCAGGGTGCCAGACTAGAGAGTTTCAACCAGCACCTACATTCATATTTCTAACACACAAGAGAGGAACGGTGCTTTCTAGCTATGAAATTGTTAGTATTCAAGGAGGTCTAGGGCTCTTGGCGTGACCTGGCACTCGGTCTGCCAGTATCACAAATCTGTATTGCCAAACCAGCAGACGACAAGATGAAAAAGATACAAGAAAACAGGACAGTAAAGTCGGAAGAATTCTGACCTGATTTGGAATGATTAAGGAAAACAAGAACAAAGATGATCCCAGCAGAACCGCAGAAGACCGCAATGAAGTGACTTCCAGAAGACAGCACTCCTAGGAAAATGGCAAGGAAAGTCAAAGCGGAACATGTGCTGTGATGAACTGAAATGTAGAAACTCTGAAGCAGATTTAACAGAATTCCTGACTACTCAAACCTGCAAGGTCAGTTCAGGGCTGGTATTTGTTGCTGACTCATGTGGCTCTATTTCAGCCCGTAGCGTTCTCCTTTTGGGGCATAACAATTTGGGGTTTGCTTCCTTGAGAAAGAGAGCTCAGAGATTCAAGCAGTTCCTTGGTTGCCGGCCATGGCCCCTGTGGTGTATTTGATGTGGTGGGAATGAGCTGCCGCAACCAAGAAGACAATGAGACTCTGGCGAAAGACCCGTCCCGGAATAAGTGGCAGAATTTGTTCCTTTGAAATAGGGAGAACAAGATCTGAAAGGAATGAAAATATGAATCGACTTCATATTCTTCAATGCGGATCATACGTATCATGAGATCCTTCTGACTTGGGATCTTCCTGCTCTCTTAGCCTGCGTATCTACCGCCGTCTTGAATTCTCTGTAATCTTTCCGCCTTGTGATACAGCGACCAAAGCCATCAAATTCTTTACCTTCAGCACTGAAGCACCACAAGAGTTTTCAGTGGGATTGTGACGCACAGCCTTTCCTTATCTGCCTCCAAGTCTAAGAGCTGAATCTTGAGAGCTCTAATCTATAACAAAGGAAAAGTTAAAAAAACATTTTGACAAGGTAAGGAAACTATTTTTGTATTTATTTGACTCAGATGAAAATGGTGAAAAGCCGCATTTTTCTTCTCTATAGGAAAGTTTTGAAGCTGCATTAAATTAACATTCAGATATGGGATATCCAGATGTGCGTGTCTCTGCATCTTTCCCATTGAAGCCTAAGTCTGTTGGTGAATCCAGTCCCAGATGGAGTTACGCCGGTTGGTGGCAATGGAGTCATGCCAATTTACACGTACTGGGGAGCTGACCCACTATGTTCAATGGAGTCACACCAATTAGACTAGGTAAGGATTTCAATCCAAGTACCAGGCTAACACCTTGGGTCAGTCTAGACAACAGGGTTTTGTCAACAAAGGTGGACTTTTGTTGACAAAACTATCCCTGTGTCTACACTACCGTCGCATTCTGTCAACAGTAAGACAACAGAATGTGGCAGTTTTGTTGACGGTGGAAAATCTCGTTTTCGAGGAATAACGCCTTTTTTTTTACAGAGTTGTGTCAAAAAAAAGCGCTATACCATACAAAATGTGCTTTTTGAAAAGAGAACGTCTACACTCTCTTTCGAAAAAGCGACTTGCTTTTTCGACAGAACTGGTTGTAGTCTAGATGCTCCTTTTCAACAGAGGCTTTGTTGATAGTGTCTGTCAACAAAGCCTCTGTTGAAAAAGTCATGCAGACTAGACGTAGCTCTGATTTTAGAACATCCTAAACACGAGACCTAAACCTGAGTTTCCCCAACATTCTCCCAAGCGCTGTTTTCACCTCCTTGTTTTGCAGGCTGTAGATGATGGGGTTTAACATGGGGGTCAGGATACTGTACTGGATAGAGACCAGTTCATCCAGAACCACAGAGGAGACGGAGCTGGGTTTGGTGTATTGGAAAAACGCTGTGAGATACAACAAGGCAACCACAGTCAGGTGAGAACTGCAGGTGTTGAAGGCCTTCCGCCAGCCTTCTGCCAAGCGTATCCTCAGGATAGTGGAGATGATGTGAATGTAGGAGATGAGGGTGAGGAGGAAGGAGCTCAGTCCCATTACGACGGCAGATGCGAGCAGCACCAACTGCTCCTTGAGGGACTCAGTGCAGGACAGCTGTAGCAGAGGAGGGGGCTCGCAGCTGAAATGGTGGATTTGATTGGGCCCACAGAACTGCAACTGGAGGACAACGACCGTGTAAACTAGTCCATTTAAGATGCCCAAAGTCCATGCACCAGCCTCCAGCAGAACACAGGTGCCTTTCTTCATGGTCTCCGCATAACGCAACGGGTCACAGATGGCCACGTAACGGTCATAGGCCATGGCTGAGAGAGTGAACACTTCTGTACAGGCCAAGAAGATGATGAAGAACATCTGAGCAATGCAGCCATGGAAAGAAATAGTTTTGTTCTCTGACAGGAAGTCTGTCAGCATTTTAGGCACCGTGACTGAGGAATAACAGAGATCAACAAAGGAGAGATGGAAGAGAAAGAAATACATGGGATTGTGAAGGTGAGAATCGGCTCTTATCACCAACATGATCAGTGTGTTCCCAGTCAGGGTGACAAGGTAAATAAGTAAAAATACCAGGAAAAGAAATGTCTGCACTTGTGGATCATTGGAAAGTCTCAGGAGAATAAATTCAGCCACGGTGGTTTGATTTTCCATCGACCCTCATTCAGCAAGTCTGTGATCTGGAAGGAATGAAAAAACATATGAAATGAACAATTATCATAGAAGTCAACTGAGGATTTCATTTTCATGGACTAAATTTAGAGGAAGACACAGAGAAGTCGGTTTGACTTTGTGTCTTTCACATAGCCAAAATGGGCTACATTCCCAAAAGGATTGGGGAACAGTTTGGGCATCTAAATCCCACTGTCAGCAAAAGTATCCACAAAATCCCTTCTCGGCAGAGACTATGAACCACTCTGATGTGAGCCTCAGTTGAAGTTGCTCCACCGAGGTTCACACTGGGGCCCGAGGTCTGTATCCCACGTCTCCTACTAGGAATGCTCTACTCAGCAGGCTAGGAAGTCATTCATTTCTCTCTGTCTGTGGCCCAGTATTTCTTTAATCTGTCCCACTAATGTCCCTAGAGCTGCAGCTGATTTTTATCAACTGAAGAGTTGGCTGCTTGGCTCCAGTGGAGTTTTGGTTGATTTGTACAAGCTGGGAATCTGTCCAATAATTTATGCATTGACAGTTAAATTCTCCAGGTCTTTCTGGATTTGATTGGGTGGCGGGTACATTTCTATCACTCTTCTAGGTTTTCAATACTACTGCTACTACTAATAATAAATCTACTACTACTAATAAAACGCCAAAGCTAGGAATATTGGTTTGGCACCGAGCATAGAATTGCTAACTCAAGCCAATATGGATGATGCATATCGAGTCGAGAGATTATCAGGGTCAGTCTCCTGCCCTAACAGAAGCACCATGCACCATCTAGACAATCCCTAATAGATGTCTACCTACCCGCCTCTTAAATATCTCTAGCGATGGAGATTCCGCAATCTCCCTATGCAATTTATTCTAGTGGTTCACTACCCTGACAGGATGGTCTTTGAGAAAAATTGTGATTATATCAGTAAAGAACAAGAATCAGGCAACCATTTTATAGAACCCTAGAACACTAGAACCGGAAGAGAACTTGAGAGGTTATCGTAACCAGCCCCCTGATGTCCCTGCAGGACCAAGCACCATCTAGATCAGCTGTCTCCAATCTTTTTACACCCAAAATCACCTTTTAAATCTCAGAACAAGCGAAGATCTACCACCCAGCCCTTCCTCCAAAACCCCACCCCCTCCTTGAAGCCACGCCCTCTCTATTCTCCTCCTCTCCGTCACTTGCTATCCCCAATCCTTATGCACTCTACACTGCCACTGTTTCCCAGTTCTTATGTAGGAAGAGGGTTTTCCAACATTTGGCCTGTCTAGACTGGACCAAATGGCAGAAAAACTCCTTCTTTTGGAATCCCCCTTATTCCTCTTAGAACGAGGAATAGAGGGTTTACGGCCGGGCACTTCTCAGGAGTGGGACAGGAGCACGCTGGCTCTGGCTTTGCCCCCAAGGATTATAGAATAGTCGAATAACTGATAAGAATTTATGAGGTTAATCGACTATTCAATTAACCAATATTTAACATCCCTAGAGCAGACCATGTTTCCTCTGTATACCACAAAATATTTGAAAAGAGTTAGTTACGGAGCACTAGGCTTGCCAATACCACAAAGCCTGCATTACTATATGCTAGTTTTCCCTTTGGGTTTAAAATAGCAGAATATTGCTATTAAGTACTTCCCGTTGTTATTTTAGGAACTGTATACGAGGTTTACCTGCGCCGGTCAACAAAGGCTTCCTTGTCGACAGCAGCACGTCCAGACTGCCCCGATCTGCTAACAAACAGCTGATCATCAGCTGGTCGGCAGAGCGAGGCAGCCATTTAAATATAAATGAAGCCACGATTATTTAAATTGTGGCTTCATTTCCCTCTGCCGATCAGCCTAATCTACATGGCTCCATCGATGGAGCCATGTAGTATAGACACATCCTGACAGACAGGTTTGCTAGACATGGATGATGGGAATGTACGTGGAGTATCACAAAGAGCTAGAAGATTGATGGTATGTTGGAAAGGTTGTTGAAGATATAAAGCTAGATATTGGTTGGGCTAGCCATGTGTTGGTATCTGTAAAATGGGGTAGACAGGTAGAATATGATAACATAAAAATGGAAGAAATAACTATTGAATATATTCTTCGCCAGTGCTGCAATAAATATCGTGGAATCAGAGAAACTAGAGTTGGAACACAAGGAATTCAAAGAACCGAGGAAAAAAATAATACACAACTAAGAACTCATTTAGGGAGAAGACTCGATTCCGCGTTGACCTGAGTCATTCATATGTGGATTCAAGAGAAGGAAAACATTGACATCCAAACAAGACAGGTGCTACCAGCTATCACTCCAAGCATGGAGAGGAAGTACATCCAATAGTGTGATGGAGGAAAAGGTCTACTGACAGTGGGGGGGAGAAGCAAGAGATGAAAAATATAACTTTCAAATACATGAGGAGTCAGACAAGTAAAAGATCATCTGGAAAGCAGTGACGGAGTGCGCATGTCTGCCCTAGAAAACACAAAAGAAAAGAGAAAGGAAAATCTTGATAAATTTACATAAGAATCGACACACAGAAAGACGTTGAGAACGATCAAACCGACTCATGATTAAAGGCTGGCAAGCTCATGGTTTTTAGAAGAATACTTCAAAAGAGAGACACAGACAGGTTCTGTGTGCACAAGTGTAGTCCAGAGATGTAATTAGATAAGAAGTAAAATTAACCTACAAACCTGCTGTCTACAAAGAAAGTGAGAGTCAAGGTCCTGCAGAGCCTGGCTAGAGAAGAATCCATGAACAGACATTGGAGTCCGCCCAAAGTCTGATTTGGAAGCTCTGCGGCATATGTGAATGAAGAGGCTACATTTTTATGGGGTCTGGGACTGAGCAGAACACACCAATCTCTTTGGCATACAATGAGGAGTCCTGTGGCACCTTAGGGTACGTCCAGACTACATGGCTCCGTCGACGGAGCCACGTAGATTTGTTTGTTCGGCAAAGGGAAATGAAGCCCCTTGTGTGAATGAAGCTGCGAATATCCAGAGCAGGGAAACTGCTTTTGTAATGCGTTAACCAGTTGAGATCTTTCTTCAATCCCAAATTGACAGGGTTGAATTCCAGTTCAGCTGTCTCATTCAGAATTTCAAAAACCGGTTACAAAGGGAGACAACTGAACTGGAATTGGTTTGGGCACCTACCCTTCTCCTGGGCATGGGGGAAGCAATCAACAAAATCTTTTATCTACAATGACTAGTCTGATATCTCCAGACCTCCTTCTGTTGGAGAGGAGATAACACGGCTTGCGGTACACTAGCGTTTCACACTTAGCACTGCTTCTCCCCTGGTGGACAGAATTTTGGTGCTAGCAAACACTGTTATAGTTACAGACCAAACATTTAAACAACACCATATAACATGGGATACAGCTGTTATAAGTAGGACTGATACATGCTGCATCTTACAAGCATTCCATAAAGTCTCAATACTAAAAACATACTTACAACTCTAATACAGGTTGAACTTTTCTAGTCCCCTACTCTCCGATCCGGCAACATCCACGGTCCAGCATGATTTGAGTTAGCTGGATGTCCACTTAGCATGGGTGTAGCCAAGTTTCCCGCAGTTCCATAAAGTTTGTTAACCGCCCCCAATCCTGGCGCTCACGGTTTCGTGCTGTTATTTAGCTCTAATTTACCTTAAATGTCTTCTAAGACCCCAAGAAGCAGTGGAAGGGTAGGTAATGCTGCTACACAGTATTGGCATCCCAGGGTTTGGCAAATTCTCTGGTCCAGCCCTCGTCAGGTCCCCAGGATGCCGGACCAGAGAATTTCAACCTGTACCTATTTTAATATTTCTAGCACACAAGAGAGGAACGGTGCTTTCTAGCTATGAAGTTGTTAGTATTCAGGGAGGTCTAGGGCTCTTGGCGTGAACCGGCACTTGGCCTGCCAGTATCACAAATCGGTATTGCCAGACTAGCAGACAGCAAGATGAAAAAGATACAAGAAAACAAGATGGTAAGGTAAGAAGAACTCTGACCTGATTTGGAACGATTATGGAAAATGAAAACAAAGACGATCCCGCAGAACGGCACAACACCACAATGAAGTGACTTCCAGAAGACAGCACTCTTAGGAAAATGGCAAGGAAAGTCAAAGCAGAACAAGTGCTGTGATGAACTGACATGTAGAAATTCTGAAGCAGATTTAACAGAATTCCTGACTACTTACACCTACAAGGTCAGTTCAGGGCTGGTATTTATTGCTGACTCATGCGGCTATATTTCAGCCCGTAGCCTTCTCCTTTTTGGGCGTCACAATTTGGTGTTTGCTTCCTTGAGAGAGAGAACTTAGAGATTAAAGTAATTCCTTGGTTGCCGGCCACGGCCCCTGTGGTGTATTTGACGTGGTGGGAACGAGCTGCCGCAATGAAGAAGACAATGAGACTCTGCCGAAAGACCCGTCCCGGAATAAGTGGCAGAATTTGTTCCCTTGAAATAGGGGGGACAAGATCTGAAAGGAATGAAAATATGAATCGACTTCATATTCTTCAATGCGGATCATACGTATCATGAGATCATTCTGACTTGGGATCTTCCTGCTTTCTTAGCCTGTGTATCTACCGCCTTCTTGATTTCTCTCTAGTCTTTCCACCAAAGCCATCAAATTCTTTACCTTCAGCACTGAAGCACCACAAGAGTTTTCAGTGGGATTGTGACGCGCAGCATTTCCTTATCTGTCTCCCAGTCTAAGAGCTGAACCTTGAGAGCTTTTTGTGAAACGCTTGTGCTCCGCATGGGACAAAGATCCCCGGAGGACTTTGTCTGTAACAAGCTAGCAGAAACCCAATGCTAGGTCAATCCATTAGCAGTGTTCAGGTATCTAAAAGGGGGTTAAAAGGAGGAGGGAGAAAATGATGCAATGGGTTTAAACTGCAGCAAGGGAGGTTTAGGTTGGACATTAGGAAAAAGTTCCTACCTGTCAGGGGGGTCAAACACTGGAATAAATTGCCCAGGGAGGTTGTGGAATCTCCATCACTGGAGATAGTTAAGAGCAGGTTGGA